GTGTCGTCGATGAACATCTGCACCATTGACTTGCTGGCCATGCGGCTCAGGATCTTCTTCTGCATCTGCATGGCCATGTCCTTGGAGCTGAAGCCCTCCATCGCGGCTGAGCGTGGGGAGAGAAAGGCGTGGGATTTTGAGAGGGTGAAACAGAACACTAGAGGTAGACATTACAGAGTATGCAGCTGCACCCTGGGGTTTGAACCCACAATCTTGGGCGCTGAAAACAAAAATCGGTGTAATCATGTCATGCGAGAGCAATGCCAGATGATTTGCAGCCTGGTCACGTGAAAGACTGAAACGATTTTTATTAACGCCTTATCGTGTGTTGTATCCTTGCCCAGTTTGAAGCCTTCCAGTTCTTTATTTATGTGTCGGCTCACAGCGGTAACGTCTGTGCAGCACTGGGAGAATGAGGAAGGCCGGTCAGGCACCTCTCGCCCTCCCACCCATCTGATAATCTCTTGACGTGCTGCACAGCTGCTGACGGGGGGGGGGGGGGGTTACTGACAGCTGGAGGTGAGGCATGTCTCTTCCCTGATGATGTGGCACACCCGTATTTGCTGACTTATCCCAAGTTTTCCCTGGCAGTGCCGAAGCTGTTACGCAGTGCCACTCGGGGAATTTGGTGCACTGGGGGCGGGGTGACAACTCGGGAGGTGGGATCGCCTTTGAGGTCTGAGCCTCAGAGTGTGGCCTGCTTTCCGAGCGAGCTGATAGATTTCTAACAAACTGGCTATCTCTCCACCAGAGAACCCAGACGAAATACAAACTTGTGAAGATGTAAAAGTTGTAAAATCCCAGAGGGAACAGTGGGAGGCTGAGGGGTTTCCAAGAGATGAGTGAAGCTCCGGGATTGGGGGCTGTGTTCTGCGTGAGAAAATAAACTGCGGGCTACTGTGTGTTTCCTCTCTGTGGTCGCTGGTTGCCTGTAGTTTCCTGTCATTAACGCCACACCAGCAAATGAAATACGTTTTTCACCTCAAGGGTGTAACAGTTTATGTATGGCTTTAGAGCATATGGGGTGTTTTTTAAAATAATTTCTCACTCCACCCTTTCAGTCTTCTGAGATGTGTGCTTTGCAGAAGTTGTTGCTTGAGCTGTGAGAAAATTTCCAGATCTGCCCTGAATTTTATTTGTTTTTTATGTTGTTTTGCTTCTTTCAGCACATAAAATGTGCAAGATAAGTTTGTGCATTCATCTGAGAATATCACTTGCATTTTACATAGTCAGCCATGAATTCACCAACAAACACCAGACTGTGCTGTAGACACTGCTATAGACACTGCTGTCCCTCTCCCCTCACACTCCCCCTGTATTCACACACTGAGAAGTACCTGACTGGACTGGAGGCACTGCTAGAGACACT